CAACCTCAAACTCTTGGGCTTCAGCAATTCTCTTGCCTCAGCCTCCCAAGTATCTGGGAGTACAGACACTCAGCACAATACTTGGCTACTTTTTTAGAGACGAGGTCTCTCTCTGGTTCAGGCTGGTCTCTAACTCATGAGCTCAGGAGATCCATCCACCTCAGCCTTCCAGAGTGGTAGGATTATAGGTGTAAGCCACTGCGCCTGGCTTTAACAGTGACAGTTACCTGAATCCAGTGGTATGCTGTGTTTCAAATAGCAAGAAGCAAAAATAGATAGTAAGAGACTGATCTAAAAACTTATCCTTATTTATGTAGCCTGAGTTCAGATAATGAGAGTTTGGACAGCAAAAGTTAAGCTACTGTGGAAAAACTGATAGACTTGCCTTATTTTATAACTCAGGGTAATACTGAAAATATCTGATGACCAGTACAAATATATGGTGGCAATAAAAAGATAAGCATGTCAAGAGTATGATTCTATGGGGAAAAATACTAAGCATCTTGAAGCCATTCCTACTGACATAAGTTGTCAATGTCACCTTCCAGCTGAAGGGAAGCATAAAGAAGTCACACAATCTGCCCAAGTCAACCTAAAGACAGTGTAGCACAGCACAGACACAGAATCAGGTCATTTGATACTCCCATCAGTTCTGTGACACTCCTTCCTCTCCTGCCAAAACACTGTTAGAGAAAACTGGTGCCTTAATTTAAAGATCAACAATGAAGGCTTGGCGCCTGTTTATAGTCAATGACCACATACACTGAAGTTGGCGGGCTTGAACCTGGCCGGGGACAGCTAACCAACAATGACAACTGCAACAAAAAATAGCCAGGTGTTGTGGCCGGCGCCTGTAATCCCAGCCACTTGGGAGGCTGAGGTTGAGGTTACTGTGAGCTGTGATGCCACAGCACTCTACTGAGGGCGACATAAAAAAGACTTCAAAACTCCCGATTGTGGCCGGGCTTGGTGCCTCACCCCTGTAAGTCCTAGCATTCTGGGAGGCCAAGGTGGGGAGGCTCCCTTGTGCTCAGGAGTTTCAGACCAGTCTGAATGGGAGCAAAACCCTAACTTTACTAAAAATAGAACAATTAGCTGGGCATTTGTGGCAGGTGCCTGTAATCCCAGCTACTTGTGATACTAAGGCAGGAGGATCACTTGAACCCAAGTTTGAGGTTGCCATAAGCTATGATGTCCCAACACTCTACCTAGGGTGACAGAGATTTTGTCTCAGAACAAACAAAAAAGCTCTCAATTGTTATTCTTTCAAGGTGTTGAGAAGACTAATGGAGGAGAAGGATACCATTATGGGTGGCCACAAAAATTCTTGTAAAACAGAAGGTGCATCTAAGCACAGTCATTTAGACAGTGAGGCAGAATAAGTACTGAAGGGAATGCTATGGATATTAACATACTGGCTGTGGTTTTTCTTGCCCCTACTGCAAAATT